GAATGGAAATTGATCTATTATTCCTCCATAAAATTATCAATGGCTACATTGATTCTCCTGAAATTGTTGCTCTGATTACGCTTTCCGCAAATACTAGAAGAAACAGAAATAGTGACATTTTCAAGATACCATTCTGTAGGACAAATTATGAATCCATGAATAGAATAAAATTATGAAAACAGCAAATACACACAAATACCAAATTGAACTATTCAATTCATCTTTATTGTCTCTCAGGAGAGCGATAAAAAACTAATAATCACTTTTTTCATAATCCTCAACTTTCTATTCGTTTTAGCATCCTAATTTTTTTTTGTGTTAGTCTTCTTCATAGATATAATAATATGTACGTGCTCCAACCAACACATCTGTGACATGACATCTCTGAGATATCGCGATGAGACCACCCTGCGATGTATAGAAGCAAGCACATCTGCGACATGACATCTCTAAGATATCATATGCGATATCACGAATGATGCATCGCTGCAATATACAGAAGCAAACTCATATATGCGAGAATTTATCAAAAATGTTTCATTTAGATTCTTGTTCGGTGAAAAAGAATACATGAATAAAATACGATACTCAACAAAGTCAAGCTTAATTCGCAAATATTCTCTACATTGCTATCGAACTATTCATTCGTTATTTTATGAACACCTAGTTCATGAATTATATCCCGAATTCTGATGCGAGATTCGCAGGAATGACCATCGAATGTAGTAGGTATTTATCAATATAATAACGATTTGTCGTAATTATGTTGTCTTCGAGTTATTGGGATTTGAAATAATCAATGCAAGTAATTTGGTATGACAAGAAGTTGGAATTCAAAATTGATTTTTTGAGTAAGGGAAATAGGAACCAGATGTTATTACAAACTAACATAAAATTTTATATTGTCAATGAAAAATAAATCTAGATACCAAACTTTATTCGAATGTCACAATTATTTTGAAATTTATTACCAAAAAACAAAAATAAGAATTATTCAACTTTGACACTCTGAATATCTCAGAAACGAATTACTTTCGGACATATATCTATACGAATTTTTCTTCTTATTTTGACGTCAGCAACATGCTCCTGGATTTTCTACACGTACTTAAGAAACACCCTGTATATTTCAGTTTCATAGAACTATAATGATTGGAATATATTGCTATAGTGGTGAAAAAAAAAGGATCCTCATACCAGTCAGCACATCCTTTCGTTGTCAACCTCGAAAGATGTCGAACAGCACTTTATCAAGACTCCTTCATCCATAGAACGGCTAGGCTCTGGAATTCATTGCCTGTGGAAGTATTCCCAACAACATATAATCTCCAGAAGTTCAAAAAAATTCCAATACCTACCTCCTGTCCCTATCCTCCCTAGGAACGCACGATGTTCTTTGAACATTATAGGGATTCCCTTTCGTGCGCTCCATGCGATAAAAAAAAACACTCGGCTGAATCCTCGGGATATAATCTTCGTCCCTGGGTTATAATAATATTTTTCACTACTTAAGTGTATAAATAAATATTACCTACTTACTGGTACGAAAAGTAAAACTGTGGAGTCTGAATATTTTCTGGCATCATTCAAAATTGTTATTCATTCAGAATTTATATAAATTTCTACAAGAAAACTGTAGTAAAAAATAACACAACCTCGATCTAAAATCTAATACTTTTTTCCATTGTATAATGAACAATTATTATTGTTTATTCCAGATGAGAACCTGCTAATTTCGATGATGTTGAGTTTCTAATCAATTGTCAATCGAAAAAATATAATACAGTGTGATAGAAAATAGACTTTGTGGGATAAGAAAATGACTGCCACAATTTTGACAGAAACTGTTGTGTCAAATGGACGAAAAAAAGTACTTCAACTAACGAATCCGAAGGAAGATGAAAAGCCAATACCCAGCTATTCCAAATACAGAGTGTTCAGGTGGGAGTTTGAGACGCCAATTATATGGACCAGTGTTTTCTTCATAACCCTCTGGCATCTGATTGCACTTTGGCTAATTATCACTCATCAGTATGTGAAGGATATTGGAATTGTGATATACTGTAAGACTTATTCAACACAAATTATATTAAATACTGTCTGTAGGTTTATCGATGAGGTGGTACATTCATTCTTCCAAATTTTTTGGGATTTTCTCTCCTCGTTTCTATAAATAGAAATATGAATATTATTTCAATATACGTGTAGTAAGGACAAATCAGATGATTTGCCCCAAAATGTCATTTCGTTTAAAGAATTTTCATATCAGAGAGCCTGAAAGAAAAATTCACTAGCTTGTCAGTGACAATTTGTATTGAAAAAAGTTTGGAGAAGAGAAATGAAGGTATATATAGAAAAAATATCAAATTTTCACTCAGCTTTGGACGTTTCGGGAACGAATCTGCTCCGGTTTTCAACATAAAAAATGGATTTTTTGTATCGCAAATTCTTATTTGTCCTGACATCCTTACTGAAGAAAGACAACATATGCAGAGTGAAATAATATTAAAATCATTGGGAAAGAAGATAACTGCCAGAAGAGAAAAATCAAGGAATGTGCTTGCATTCTTCTGAACGGAGACAATAGCATTGCTTCCTGTTCAGTTGATAAAGATGAAACATGGTATTCACTATTGTAATCTGAAAATTTAAATGGTAAATTCAGGATTAATTAATGGAAACATCCTGTAACTCATTTGTTTGCCAACGTCACCAATTGTGACAGAACTGAAAAGTGTCAGGACATTTGGCTCTCTGATAGGAAAATTCTTTAAACGCAGTGACATTTTGGCGCAAATCATCTGTTTTGTCCTTACCTAGTCCTTACTACACGTATTGAAAAAAATATTCATATTTTCATTTTATAGAAACCAGGAAAAAATCCCAAAAAAAACTGGAATAACAAATTATATTCTTCAAGTGTAATCAAGTGAATCAAGTGGAAGAAAACTTGTATCGATAAGATATTGAAAAGTCGTTTCGTAGTTTATAAAGTGTGTCCATTTAGTGCGTAATTCTTCGATATCCGTGACCTATAGAAAAAAACTTTGGAGGAAAAACTTCTTCAGTTACTCAAGTTGTTTATTTCAAAAATATTTTCAGCATTACTGGGTGTTTTATAAAAGCGGGATGACTCGGAGACGAGTTTTTTTAAAAGGAACACCCTGTATTGTTTATTCGGAATTTATTCAGCCGAGGTTTACCTTCACATCGCTGTAAAAAAAATTGAAATCGGTTACGGCGTTGCCAAGTTATAATTGATAAATCTATTTTCACCACTATTGAAGAGTCATGTTGAATTGGGCATGGTATATTTATTTATCCAAATTATGGAAATATTTTCGACATACGGTAGTAGCAAGGTCTCACGTATACAAATTCAGTAATTTTACGACATGTTCTTTAACAGGGTGCTCTATTTCGCATTTAGAATTTCGCAAGATTCAGATGGCATTCATTAGAATTTTTCAAATGGAACACCCTGTATTTTTTTTCACAAATTTATTCCGACATCTTTCACCTTTTTATCGCTAAAAAACAATCATAATCGGCTGCGGCGTTGTCAAGTTATGGATAATTTCCTTATTTTTCTATTTCGGAGTATAATTTTAACGTCATAGTTCTTTCATTCAAATAATCAAATTTCTTCATTGACCATTCATATATTTTTTTACAATAGGAACATTTGCACGCTCTCCAAGTTTTTTATTTAAAACAGAGTAGATTTGACAAATTGATCCAAAATGCTACTTTCACAGATTTTTTGCAGACAACGAATTGATTTTTCGAAGTACACTTTTCTCATTTCTCGTGTAATGACCTGTCAAACATCGTCACAATCAAATATATCTTAAATTTATTTAAAATTTTGCTGAATTCCCTCCCGAAACCCGCGTAGTGAAGAAATATTGTTTGTATCAATATGTAGAGTTTGCCTCCTTCAAGTTTGATGGAGATTTGGTTTGTGGGAATAACGACAATAAAACTGGTCCAAATTTTAAAAAAATATCCTCATTCTCGCAATTCAAATCTCCATTATTTGTATTGTAGAAGTTGTTTTGAAGGCAGGCGTTTTGCTTATGGCATGTTTGTTTCACATAGGTACATATTATTTAAATCATAAGTAACAAGATTACGGAATATTTTTAATTTTGACAATACTTATATCGCAAAGATACCTGAATGATCTATGTAGAACCTCGAATGTCATGTGGCAAGCAATATTCCCACAATCAAATCAAATAAAGGAACCATGTATCATAAGTTGCCCTGAGATAGTGATGAACATAAGGAAATTACTCATAACTTGAAAACCCCGCACCCGATTTCAATTTTTTTTCAGCGATGAAAAGGCGAATGATATCGAAATAAATCTGTGATGAAAAATACAGGGTGTTCCATTTGAAAAATTCTAGTGAACGTCGTCTGAATCTTACAATATTCAGAGTGTAAATTTTAGCACCCTGTAAAGGATAATCTCGCAAAATTACTGGATTGGTGTACGTGAGACCTTGCTACTACTGTATGCCAAAAATCTTCTCAAAATTTTAATAAATTAATATACTTTACCCAATTCAACATGACCCTTCAATAGAAGTAAAAATGGGTTTATCAATTATAACTTGGCAACGCCTCAACCGAATCCAATTTTTTTCACAGCGATGTAGAGCTTAACCGTAGAGGAATGAATTTTGAATAAAAAATTCTGGGTGTTCTATTTGAAAAAACTCGTCTCCGAGTCCTCCCGCTTTTATAAAACACCCAGTATTGTTGAAAATATTTTTGAAATGGAACCTTCAATAACGGAAGAAATTTGTTTCCAAATTTTTTTCTCTAGTGATAATGGATTTCGAGATATCGAAGAATTACGCACTAAATGGACACACTGTATAGTGTAGTCCGCAGTGCTTGAGATTCTTATTGTGTACCGACATGCTAAAAATGACCACACCATATAATACGAAATTATCCAATTAATTTGTAATATTCTATGTTGACAGGTCTTGTACTTGGGGGTATGACAGGATTTGGCATCACTGGAGGTGCACATAGGTACTTCACACACAGATCATTCAAAGCCAAATTGCCGCTGAGGATCATCCTTCTCTTTTGTTATAGTCTAGCAGGACAGGTAGGTAAATACTAGAGTCACTGGATGGTATTAGTTTGATAAGAGTTCGGACACAGCTGAACTTTTGTCCTTTTCTATTTTCTATTATACAATGGTTTAATGGTTTAAGTGAATGAATGAATAAGACATATATTCTGCTCTTTGTCTTTTCAATTTCCCTAGTAACGCCTGATTGTCAGATGCGATTTCAGAGGTTAGATTTTCTGTCAAATCAATCATAGTCGTAGATGAAAAATAGAAATAGGGTATTGAAACACCAACTTCAATTTATAGCGATACATTTTTCGCTGAACAACAGTCCACTGTGATCATATGTTAAGTGATTAGGCTTTCAAGGATTATTTACCTTCCTATCGAGACCCCGAGAGTTTTGTTGATGATTCTAAGTTTTTCTACGAGCGAATGCGCATGCGTTCATAAATTATCACGTGATTCACTGTGACCAATCTGACAATGAGGTTTGGGAATGGTTCGAAAACTTCAGGCTCTCGTCTTGATATGGAAGTTTACCCAGGGATAGGAGGGGGGGGAGCGATAGTGATTTTGGATTACCGATGCTGCCTGTTTATCGATATTATCAAAATTGTTGATATTTCCGATATTATCGATATACAGGGTGTTCCGACCCTGTATATCCAGTGAATCGAACAATGTTTTCGCAGAATTCGCTGAAGGACTGGGTCCGCGACCACAGGGTGCATCACAAATTCAGCGAGACTGATGCGGATCCCCACAACGCCAAAAGAGGATTCTTCTTCTCTCACGTTGGCTGGCTGATGATGAAAAAACACCCAGAGGTCATCAGAAAGGGACGGTTGATCGACATCAGCGACTTGACTGAGGATCCTCTAGTAGCCTTCCACCAAAAGTGAGTATAGCATAGTCGAGGGATAGGAGGCCCATTGGTTATACGAGGTGATTTATTAAAGTGTGCGAAAGAAAATATGACCTACAATAATGTATGGATAATTCAAACCCCCAATAATCCGAAATGATACTCTATAATCCGAACGTCCTAGCTATTAAAACTATGCAATTTACAAAAAGAAGGTATAAAAATACAGAGCACGTACATATTATTATATTTATGAAGAAGACTAACGCAAAAAAAATGTAGAAGGCCAAAACGGATGAAAAGATAAGGATTATGAAATAAGAGTTCAACAGTTTTTCATCGCTTTCCTGAAAGAACATAAAGATGAATTGAACAGTTCAATTTGGTAATAATTGTGTGTATTTGCTGTTTTCATAATTCTATTCATGGATTCATTTTGGCCATGATTTCTCCCACAGAATGGTAGCTATATTCATCCCTATTGAATCCCATGTGGTACCTACGCACAACTTTTTAAAAATTTATTTTGACAACGCTCTCTATATTCAAGAATAGACCTCACCTGTGCACGATAAATAATTTTAACAGCATTAACAGATATTTCTTCAGCAGAACGAAGGGAAAAGCCTAGCATTTTACGAGCACGAGATGATGTTTCTATTATGTGATATTTGAAGGTCATTTTCGAGTCGAATATTACTCCTAAGTCTTTGATTGTATTGGTTACTGATAGATTAGTGTCATTAATGAAAATGACATCTTTTGACATTTATTCAAATTCAGTTTTAATAAATTGATATGGCACCATCTGGAAAAGTCATTTAGATCGAGCTGCAAACTCTCAGCATCAGAAATGCATTGAACAGTTCTAAACATCTTTAGGTCATCGGCAAACATCAAGAAGGAACTGTTGATGATGACATCAGAGAGGTCATTAACAAAAAGATTGAATAACAGAGGTCCCATGTGAGATCCCTGTGGTACACCTGATGGTACTTCGATTGGTTGTGAAACTGAGCTCCCATATTTCACATAATTGGACTCTACTAGTGAGATAGCTTCTGATCCAACAAATGATATCCATAATCCGAGGGTTCTTGTATGTGTGTGCATTTTCAGTAAAAAATGGCGGTAAAACTACACTTCTCATGCGATGGTTTTTTTTCGAAAATTTTTTAGGGTACTTACATATTTTTGTTTGAAATACACGAATTTGATAATGAAAATGTGAACAAACCATTATTCATTAAGATATTTCACTATGAAGTTCCAAATACCACCCCCTTCTCGCATGTCTTTCGGATTGCGTTTAAAACAATTAGCCTTTCTTTTTTCTTTTTTCATTGGACAATTTATACACTGTGTCCGTAAAGTATGGAACAAATTCGATATTTCTTAAACTAAAAGCCCTTTCAAAAATATCTGAAACACGTCAACTACATTTTCGAGGGGGACATCGTTCTCAAATATTTTTAGGCCCTGCGGCGTTGCCGCTTCTAACGAAAAGAAGCAACAACTTTGTTATTTCAAATGAAACACCTTGTATTTGATTGCATTTTTAGATTCTCCACAAAGAGCTGATTTCATCAATGCATCACACTTGGGGTCTAGCTGTAATGGTTTCAGGGATATAAAGTGTTCAAAATCGAGATTTTCAACTTGAGCATTTTTTTGTGTCGAAACTATTCATTATTGGTCAAAACGGCTTTCATGTCCCTATCTCAACTTGTGATTTACTATCTACTGAAATTTATTTGAAACAAATACAGGGTGGTTCAAGATTCAGAATTCTGATCACCCTGTATCTGTCGTGCTATGTGGTTGTGAAATATATATACTCACGATATATCATCAAAATACCTGATGGTGCATATCATATCAAAATCTTTGAGTTCATGTCATTATGTAATTCGATCATGAACTGTCTTTATTCAATGATTAACATAAACAGAACGTCATAATAAATAATTGAATATCGATAATGTAGTGAAATGCATTTTAACTTTTTTTGTAGTAAACTTTATTGTATGCAGTAATTCTCAAATACTGACTTCCATTGATTCAGTTTTATTTTCAATGTGATGATCTTTGATGTTCATTCAAGTGCTTCAACGCCAGCAAAGCCACGGTTAGAACCTTATGAATATCATACAAATCGAATGCTTCGATGCTCATATCACAAAACCGTTCCTCATCGTTTAAAAAATCTAGTAGGCAAGCAAAAGATGATATCTGTAGAGCTATGTGGTTGTGAAATATATACTCACGATATATCATCAAAATACCTGATGGTGCATATCATATCATAATGTTTGAGTTCATGTCATTATGTAATTCGATCATGAACTGTCTTTATTTAATGATTAACATAAACAGCACGTCGGAATAAATAATTGAATATCTATAATTTTCATGTTTTTCGCAACACTCAATTCATCTGGTGAAATAATGTTCCCAGGAATAGATAATGTAACAATTTGTCTCAAGTCAACTCTTGCAATCATCACATCTTGTAATCATGCAATAAATCACATGCCTAATTTTTTTGCATTGCTCAACAGACAATACAGACATTGAAAATCGTACGTAATACATATAGTATACCTACCCATTTTTTTTAATTACTTGTTAAAATATTAAAGTTCAAAATTATCATTTTTTTATGTGATAAGTAATACTCTAATTAGGAATAATATGAAATATGATAGCCAAGAAAGTGTTTTTTAATGGTCTATAGTCTATATGATTAAACGCTTATATACGGAGTGTATATGAACGAATGCGGAAAATTTTAGGTGATTGATTGTCATATTTTATGAAAAATATTGAATCTATACATATTTTTTCCTAACTGTTATCATTAAAAATTGATTTTAATTTTTATCAATTTCAATAAATGGAAAATAATGGTTTCCCTAATAGCATACAACGTCCTAGGGACGTACCTATTTGGTACAATTCAAGTCCGAATGTCCCTGACCAAAAATAAGTGTCCTTGGGACGTCCCATCCCGTACATCTCATGCAATGTCCGAGCAAGGACGTCCATGGAATGTCCCAGCTGGTACATCATTTCAAATGTCCTAGGAATAGCATCCCTTAGACGTCCCACGTGGTACATATTGTAGAATGTCCATGCAAGGACGTCCTTGGCATGTCCATGTTCCTTTAGGGACATCCATCGGATGTCCCGAGTAGTACATATTCTGGCATGACTTCAGATCTTATATAATGTCCCTTCTAGACAACCATGGACGTCCCTAGTTGGTCCTCAAGTGGGACATTTGTGCGTCCCACAGACGTCCAATGAACGTCCACGGTACCAAATTCGAACGTATTATGGACTTTTGGGTGTATGATGAATTGACAATCATCGTACAGGGCGTGGAAAGGAATTCTGAATTGAGACTCTATCACGAATCTGCGATTAGGAGTCTATAAAAATCACAAGTTTCCATCGTTCAAGTTTGAACCCCCTGATTGGGTATGAAAGTGTTGAAAAGGAATATTCTCAGATAAATTATGAACATACAAAAATGGATATATATTTATATAAAGCAATACATTGAGAATTCGCATTCTCTATGTGATGAGAATATTTACTCTTTCTCAGTTGATTCAATAGAAAACAACTACTTTCCTGGCTATATGCCACGACGAACATTGAATTATATCTATTGAACACACACGAAAGTAGTTGTTTTCTGTTGAATATTCAGAATGATGTGTGCATATACATATTTTTATCTGAAGGAGAATGCAAATTTTCAATTTCAGAAGTTTTTATATTTTATTTTCAAACTCTTATCGTGTGTGTTCAATAGATATAATTCAATGTTCGTCGTGGCATATAGCCAGGAAAGTAGTTATTTTCTATTGAATCAACTGAGAAAGAGTAAATATTCTCATCACATAGAGAATGCGAATTCTCAATGTATTGCTTTATATCAATATATATCCATTTTTGTATGTTCATAATTTATCTGAGAATATTTCTTTTCAGTACTATGGACGTCCTGAATGTCCCAACAGGACGTCCAAAGGATATCCATGGGACATAAGTGTGTTATTAGGGTTTGTTAACAGTCATGGAGCTTCTTATGGTGAACTTCAATTCGAAATAACAGATCCAGTGGCGTCGCAGTGGGTTACTGTACCGATTTTTATGGTGAACAATATTGTGCGCCACTGGTTTTTTCAAGTTTCATATTTATATTGGATTGAATAATAGAAAATACGACTTTCTTCTTTCCCGTATTACTTCTGTATCTCGCTTAGTTTTTGAGGAAACAATAAAAAGTCGATTCGACTCTACATTTCAATGTATGTACTCTCAAAACACTCATTGATATTACTCAATAACCTCCATTGGCGTAACTAGGACTTTTCTCACGGGAGGGGGCTGGCAAATATAATTATACCCGAATTTTACAATCCATGAAACAAATGTACATCTACATATTATATGATTTATATTGAAAGATAAATATATTATTTTATGATACTCTGAGGAGTTTTTTGTTTTCAAATGAACACTGTTCAAATTACCTGGCGTCCATTTTCAAAAATATTCTTGATGGTTATTCTCAAATCGCTGTGTAAGCGAATTTTATATCTCATTTTTGGGCTTAGTGTGGTGGGCCCCAATACCCTTCCAAAGTCAAAAAATTCGAAAATCCAGAAAATTGACTTCTCCATATAATTTTTTCGAAAATTTCAAAATTGTCATATCTAGCAACCGGATGATCAGATTCCGCTTGGCTCTAATAGTCAGAAATAATTTTCTCATTATATACAACTTCAAACTCAAAAAATTGAGAATCCCAAAAAATACATTTTTTTCTGTGGGAGTTTTTGCAAAATTACAAATTTGTCATATCTATTTTATTTTATTTTTATTTTTATTTTTATTTTTATTTTTATTTTTATTTTTATTTTTATTTTTATTTTTATTTTTATTTTTATTTTTATTTTTATTTTTATTTTTATTTTTATTTTTATTTTTATTTTTATTTTTATTTTTATTTTTATTTTTATTTTTATTTTTATTTTTATTTTTATTTTTATTTTTATTTTTATTTTTATTTTTATTTTTATTTTTATTTTTATTTTTATAAGTTACAGGCTACTCAACAGGTCGAATGACCCAATTACAGAGAAGCACAAAATATACTAATCATCAGTTAACAATCGAAGGTTATGAAAAGTTGAAGTTTATATAAGTGAGATTGATTATACTACAGTGGAATATAAAGAACAGAAAAATAGGAAAAGGTGAATTTCAGTTGACTATTTGAAGAGGAGTCGTTACAATTGAGGTTACAATACCTGATTATGTGAAAAGAAGTCAAGAGTGAATAATTTGCCTCAGTTTGGTTTTAAACCTGAATATTTTCGTGGTGAAAATATCTACAAGAGAATTGTTCCCTATCGCATTATAAGAATTTATGCACCTATGTAAGGGTGAATTCAGTAGAGAGTTAGTAGAGCTAGGTCCAGTTGTGAAGAGATGTCTGTTTCTCACGGCATATGGAGTACAGTTCAAAGTGAGAGAATTGGTGCAAAATTCAGAATCAATTAGATTATTGACCACTTTGTAAATGAAAAGAATGTCGAAAAATTTTCTCCTCAGTTGAAGGTTTTCAATTTTGTAGTGTTTAACATTAGCATTGTATGAGGAGAAAATTTTTCCATGGTTAAAACGAAAATTCAGGTGTCGGACAAATTTCCTCTGGACATTTTCAATTCTATTGGAGTGATTATTATAAAAGGGATTCCAGATGACAGATGCATACTCCAGGGAGGATCTCACAAGGGAGTTGTACAACGATTTAACAGCATCTGGGTCTCGGAAGGATTTTGTCGCCCTCATAATAAACCCAAGATTTCTTAGACTTTTCTGCACCGTCAATTCGACGTGTGTGTCGAAGGTTAATTTAGTATCTAGGTGAACACCTAAGTCTTTGATGACATCGCAATCTCCCAGAACCTCACCGCACAGTACGAGATTGGAGGTGGGAGGATGATTATTACGGGTAAACAGGATCTTGTGACATTTACCAACGTTCAATTGAAGTTTGTGAAATTAATAAGTGATAATTTCAGTAATAATCCTTAGTTACTAACAAGTGAAATCAACTTCTCCGCCACTGAATATCTGAATTGTCTATTCCTTCTCTCCTTCTCTGTTCATTTCACTGCTACTCTTATTTTTCTTCTTCTTTTTCTTGTCATTCTCTTCTTCTTCTCTTTCTTTCTTCTTCTTTGATCTGTTTTCTACATGCTTAGCTCTCTTCTCTTCACCACTTTTCTCTCTTGATGTTACTTGCCTCTAGTAGTTCTATTCTGTCAGTTTAGCACATGCCACTCATTGATTTTCTTTTTCGTGTCCAACATCAAAGTCATTGTCCTTCTTTCATAAGTGTCATTAATTTTCACAATTTCAGTATTTTCAGTTCCTTTGAGTACTGATAGCATTCGCGGGAATCAATGTTACCAGGTGGCGCTCGGTTTTCATCGTTCCATGTGAAAGCCACGTCAAAACTGGGGGAAAACAAACTCAATCCTCACTCAATCTCTCTTAGTGCCATTAGCTTGTGTACTGTGTACTGATAAGAGTGATAACACTTTATGTCATTGACATGTTTGACAACTACAGCTACAGCAAGATGTATGCAATGTAGTCTATGCACTTTATGCATAGACAACAGTTTGTTTTCCCTCAGTTTGAAGTTCATATTATGTAACCTAGATGTCGCCCACTTCGTGAATCTCGCGAATAGAATACATACCACCCCATCCAATTATTCCATACGATAATATAGATTGGAAGAGAGTATGATAAAACATGATCATTAAACGTCTATACTGACAATATTTCGCAGAAGAATTCTGTTATATATCTTGGTTGTGAATCATCATAACAAAAAAAAGTCATGAATATTGTTCTATTCAAATTCAGAGTATTGACACAAATTCAAAAAAATCCATTCTTTCTTAAAACACTTGAATATTCTCTCAAAAAGAAGATATTGACCTGAATCTAGAACCATTTATTTGTGTTGAGAAGGGACAAAAAAGGATCACACTTCAATTCAAAACATCGTTAAGCAGAAGGTTGGAGAATGGTTCTGAATTATTTCTGATGAAAAATCCATACTTGTATCGTCTCCTAAAAAGTGGTTATCGACGTAAATCAAAAATCATTCTATTAAATCAATCAATCGCAATCAATAGTTTATTGTTCATCAAAACTTCACAGTGCTATAACAATGTGAGTTCAGGCAGAGAAAAGAGACGTGACGAAAAATATATTATAATAGAACGAAAATGTGGAATATAAAAGAATATATCTCTATATAATGTGCAATGTATACAGTCGTCTTCTTCAGAAAACATGCATCAGATGAACGACAATGAAACACATATACAGTAACAGAAAAACTAAGCCACTACAGATACATAGTTGAGTCTCAAGTAAAATAAACAAAAATAAAAATTACAAGTAATTCATTCAATATGAAAGAACGCAGTTTCAAAATATTCCACATATATGTAGCTGTAGCTTTTGCTATCGAAGGCGTAATAAGAGTAACTTTTGTTTTTCCCTCTATAATGATCAAGCGATCAGCTTCTCTAAGGACCTAATAGTCAGGCAACATTTAGAAACATGAATATACGATTTGGTCGAAATTACACCAAAATGTGACAATAATTAAAAAAGTTACAGGGCAAACAATGTGGCAACATTTTTTGGTGGCCGGTTTTTTTTGTCGGTGACTGTATTATCCTTCCCTACTCAAACATATTTCTCTTTCAGATACTTCATCTGGTTCAAAATATTGATATGTTTCGTGATACCAACCTTGATCCCACCGTATCTCTATGGGGAAACCTGGTTCAACAGCATCAAAGGAGTCTGCTTCGTGAGATACATCATTTCGCTGAATTCAACATGGGCTGTGAACAGTGCAGCCCACTTGTGGGGAAACAAACCTTATGATAAGTAAGTGACATTTTCTAGGGTGATGATATCGTTTTGACTATCACTTATCTTGAAATTCTCACATAAACTGACCAATCATTACAAACCAAACACAACTATTGTGCGAAAAGCTACTTTACACCTCAACAGCTTCTCATGATCTACAAAGCGCAGATACGGCCTGTTCTAGAATACTGTTCCCACATATGGGGTTCAGCACCAAAACATAAGCTGATGCTATTAGATTCCATCCAGAGAAGAGCCATCTGCCTGGTGGGTGACGCCACACTCACTTACTCTTTGACATCATTGGAACACCGTAGAAAGGTCGGCGACCTTTCACTTTTCTATCGATACTTCCACGGAAAATGTGCTTCGGAAATCTCTGCTATCATCCCTTCACTAGCAATACCAGTCAGACGAACTAGACAAGCCTGCAGTCAGCACATCCTTTCGTTGTCAACCTCGAAAGATGTCGAACAGCACTTTATCAAAACTCCTTCATCCATAGAACGGGTAGGCTCTGGAATTCATTGCCTGTGGAAGTATTTCCAACAGCATATAATCTCCAAAAGTTCAAAAAAAATTTCAATACCTACCTCCTGTCCCTATATCCTCCCTAGGAACGCACGATGTTTTCTGAACATAATAGGGATTCCCTTTCGTGCGCTCCAAGCGATTAAAAAAAAAAATTCGGCGAATTGGAATCCATAGTTTGGAATTTCCGCTGTACTATTACCTTGAAGGGTATAAGCTCCCAATTTCAAGATCGAATCTCCCGACACAATAATTGCTTGTCTCCCGATTTCTCAAAACTGAGTTGGCAGCACTGTCTCAGTGAATACAATTCATGCTTACAATACTATCGGGAACCCTATTAGAAACCTTTGATTCGATCTGATTGCTTCGAGGTGAATAATAATAATAATAATAATAATCCGAATTTGATTGGAGTTCCTGATTGGTTATTCATTTGGAAACTGCGTGAAATAGTCGGTTATAATTATTGCAAAAGTGCATGCAATTACCGAAAATTTTTCAATATTTTGGCGAATGAGCCCGAATCCGAAATGAAAATAACTTGTAATTATTTGTATCGTGTACAGGGTCATTCCGTATAAACAGCTTCTACAGGGTTTATCATTGAAGATAGAGAAAAACTTCGAATGCAAAAGTTTTAGGGTTTGTTCTGAACCTCCAGGATGAAACAAATGAATATCGCTGATATAAGAAATGGGTACCAACTTCGTTATTTTCAATGGAACGCCCTATATATTTTTCGAAAAAATTCAAGATCATTTCTTCCTGATTCCAAAAATATATTGGTCATTGAATTTTGGTTCAGCCGTTTCAGAGATATTCAACTTTAGGATTTTTTTGAGACGAAACTATTCATCATCGGTCAAAATGGCTTTCATGTCCATATCTCAACTTTTGATTTACTGTCTACTAACATTTAATAATTGGAACATTTACAGGGTGGTCCAAGATTCAGAATTCCGATCACCCTGTATCTGTTCCATTTCTTAAATGTCATTAGATAGTAAATCAGAAGTTGAGATATATGGACATGAAAGCCGTTTTGACCGATGATGAATAGTTGAAAAATCTCGATTTTGAACACCCTATATCTCTGTAATCATTTCCGCTAGACCCCAAGTGTGATACATCGACCAAAACAGCTCTTCAGGGAGAATCTGAAAATACAATGAAAAATAGGGTATTCCATATGAAATAATCGAATAGTATCGAAAATCATTCAAGATGATATTTCAAATTTTGAAATCGTTTCAAAAACAAAGGAGCTAGAGGGGGGGGACATTTATGGTGAATCACCCTGTACTTGAGCACCATGTAACTCGGTAATGAATCATTTTCGGACTTATGTTCATATGATTTTTTTTCTTATTTCGACCTAAAAAATATGACCTAGAGGTTTTGCGGGAGGGATATGAGGGAAATACTCGCAATATAAGTGTCCGAACATTTATTGTCATTCAACCTCGTTTCCGCCTGTCCTCAGACGGATCAACCCCAGCGAGAACCTAGCAGTCTCCTTCTTCGCCATGGGCGAGGGCTACCACAACTACCACCACACTTTCCCCTGGGACTACCGCACTGCCGAACTCGGCAAAATGCTCAACTTGACCACCCTGTGGCTGAACATCTTCGAGAAGATCGGATGGGCGTACGACCTGAAGACCCCTTCGGAGGACCTGGTGCGCAAAGTGGCAGAAAATCACGGAGATGGTACCCATTTGAAGTGGGGACACGAAGTTGCTTACGATGAGAATGACAACAAAAAAATTGTTGACAGCTCCAAATCGGCCTGAATAAAGTATATGACTATTCAATTCCGTTTATTTTTCCCATCAACTAGGATATTCTAGAAGATTCTGGAATGTTCTAGGACCTCCTGGATGATGGTTAGGTTCCATGTGAGTGGGGCGAATACCTCCCCTCCACTGCGACCCCAGATGGGTCTATTGTGGCTCACCCCTAGAGGTTACAGTTCACCGTACAATCCACATCTTTTTACAAAGTTCATGGTTGAATTGGGTGAGATTTGTCTGAAATCGATAGGTTCTAAATTGGCAAAGCCAAATGTTCGACCTTGGTTCGACCTTGGTCTTTCTAAGCTAGAGCATGAACATAATATGTGTTCAGCCGTTTCGTCTTCCACACAACAGAACCGATAGTCCGTTTGTTGGTTCAGACCCATCCTTCCCAGGTGGTATCTTAGACGACAGTGTCCCGTAAGCAGTCCAGTCAGAATTCGCAGGTTACCTCTGCTCCATTCTAGGATCTGCCTGGTTATTTTTTCCGATGGTTTAGGCAGGAACGCCTTCGAATGGGTTAATCCTGCCAATTCAGACCAGTACGTGAGTGTTTTTTCCTCCGCCCAGCCCGAGATAGTTGTTTTTGCCGCACTTGCGGTGACCTCAAAATATGGTTCTGGTCCTATGAACACAGATTCGGTTCCCTGTTTGGCGAGGATGTCGGCTTTCTCGTTACCCTCCACCCCCTGGTGTCCAGGCACCCACAGCAAAGTGACTCTATTGTTAGCTCCCAGGCATTCTAGGGATTCAATACAGCTCCATACACGCTTGGAATTTATCTTGCTGGAGCTCAGTGCTTTAAGAGCAGCCTGACTGCTGGATGATTCCTTGATATTCTCAAACAATCTAGAACATTCTGAAATATTTTGGATTACTATAGAGCATCCTAAAACATTCTGGAACCTTCTGAAAAATGTTATAACAGTCTTGAAAAATCCCAAAGGTATGGAACATTATAGATGTCTCGAGGAACATTATACATATATGTTTCAAAGAATATGATAGATAGATGTTTGAAAGAACATTATAGATGTCTCAATGAACATTATAGATGTTCCAACGAACATTCTAGATATTACAAGAAACATTATGGAACTTTAAAGAACAGCACTCCAAACCATTCTACTATTTCTTTCTGGGCGATTCGATAAAACTCCTGAACAATCCTTAACTATTAGGAACATTTTGTATGTTAAACATCGTTCTAGGAATATTCTGGTTCGTTCCAAAACATTCTAGATCCTTCTGGAAGATGTTTCGATATTGGTAATTATTCTGGGACAATTTGGCACATTCTGAAAAGTTACAAAACATCCTAGAACATTCTGTTACCTTTTGAACGATTTCATAACATTCTTGAATCTCGAAAGTTTAGAAGATTCTGTCTGAAACATTATCGATGTTTCAAGGAACATTCTGAAACCTTCTATAACATTCCAGAACATTATAGCGGTCCAGACCTTTTTGCTGGAAGAATTCATAAAATTATTGAACAATCCCGAACTATTTGAAACATTTCGTCATAAAACTACCGACCTGCCGAGCTCGGCAAAATGCTCAACTTGACCACCCTGTGGCTGAACATCTTCGAGAAGATCGGATGGGCGTACGACCTGAAAACCCCTTCGGAGGACCTGGTGCGCAAAGTAGCAGAAAACCACGGAGATGGTACCCATTTGACGTGGGGACACGAAGTTGCTTATGATGAGAATGACAACAAAAAGATTGTTGACAGTTCCAAATCGGCCTGAATAAAGTATATGACTATTGAATTCCGTTTATTTTTACATTAACTGTAGGAGATTCTAGAAGATTCTGGAACGTTCCAGAACCTTCTGGATGATTCCTTGTTATTCTTGAACAATCTAGAACATTCTGAAATATCCTGGATTACTATAGAGCATCCAAAACACTCTGGAACCTTCTGAAAAATGTTATAACAGTCTTAAACAATCCCAAAGGTTATAGAACCTAAGTGGTTCAGGAACGTATGACTACCTGCAGGCAGGTTTCGAGCTGTTGGTTCTCATCAGCGCAGGGCTGTCCCAGATAGCTTCTTGACCGCTATCTGATGCGAAGCTGACCCAACGTTTGACCCCGGCGTTCAGGAAGGAAACACTTGCGATTCAATTCGTATTTTCGAATTATTGCATAGATTTCGAGAGGATGTAATCGAATGATCTGCGTGACATATAGCCAGGAAAGTAGTTGTTTTTCTCTCGTTATCTACCATTTTCGTTCATTTTATGAACTATTGTGGTAATAACTTTGAGTTTCTCTTGTTTTGTGATATAATTGTTTCTTCAGAATTGTTATATAACCAATTTTGTGTTCACCCAATGTCAGTGTCAATTTTGATTACCGATTCCATTCAAATTACTTGGAACGTTGCATAGTAACAAACTTTTCCTGCCTATTCAGAGACAGGACACCTTTCCTGCCTATTAAGTGTCAGAGAAAAGCAACTCTATCTATGCCGCCTGGAGAAAAAAATATTTACAATATAGACTGATGAGTAACTTATTTGCTGTTATGAGTTATAGTTGTTGATTCGGATGAGATAAAAAAAATATACCTAAATATATATAATAATTTGATGAAGTTGTTGATAGTCTGGCAGAAACCTTATTATCAATTTGTAGAGGCCTTGACTTTGATTCCCCACAAAAATGTTGCCTTCGCCAAAATATTGTCTGAGTGTCTTGACCCCTCCTCGGTATACACTGTTCAGTTGATATAGATAGAACATGTTATTCACTACTGAAAGCTGAAAATGAAAATGGTATATTCAAGATTGATTAATGAGAACATCCTGTAACTCATTTGATTGCCAACGTTACTAATTGTCACTGAGAACTGAGAAGTGTCAAGACGAATACGAATTTGCTACAAAAATATCCATTTTTTATGTTTAAACCGGGAGCAGATTCGTTCCCGAAACGTCCAAAGCTGAGTGAAAATTTGATGATTTGTCTACAGTGTGTCCATTTAGTGCGTAATTCTTCGATATCTCGAAAGCCATAACCTATAGAGAAAAACTTTGGAGGAAAAACTTCTTCAGTTACTGAAGTTGCTCATTTCAAAATTATTTTCAATATTACTGGGTGTTTTATAAAAGCAGGGCAACTCGAAGAAGAGTTTTTTTTAAATGGAACACCCAGTATTGTTCATTCGGAATTAATTCCGTCGAGGTTCACCTTCACATCGCTGTGAAAAAAATTGAAATCGGTTGCGGAATTGCCAAGTTATAATTGATAAATCTATTATTACCATTATTGAAGAGTCATGTTGAATTGAGCATGGTATATTCATTTATTCAGATTTTGAAAATATTTCTGGCATACGGTAGGAGCAAGGTCCAACGTATACCAATCCAGTAATTTTGCGACATGTTCTTCAACAGGGTGCTCAATTTTGCATTTAGAATTTTGCAAGATTCAGATGACATCCATCAGAATTTTTCAAATGGAACACCCTGTATTTTTATTCAAAAATTCATTTCAACATCTTTCGCCTTTTTATCGCTGGAAAACAAATCGGTTGCGGCGTTGTCAAGTTATGGTTGATTTCCTTATTTTTACTACTATTTCGGGGTAATTTGTACGTTATAGTTCTTTCATTTATTTGTATTGTGGAAATGTTGCGTTGCTACGGTATAATCAAATTTGTTCATTGACCATTCATATATTCTTTTACAAAGGGAACATTTACAGGCTCTCCAAGTTTGAATTTTGTTCGAAATATTTGTGTAATGACCTGTCAAACATCGCTACAATCAAACATATCTTGGATTGATTCGACATTTTGCTGAATTTCCTCCCAAAAGCCGCGTAGTAGAGACATATTGTTTGTATCATCATGTTTACCTTCTTCAAGGTGAATGGAGATTTGGATTGTGGGAATAACGACAATAAAAATGGCCTAAATTTCAAAAAAAAATCCTAATTTTCGCAATCCGCATCTTCATTGTTTGTATTGTAGAAGTTATTTCAGAGACAGGCGTTGCTTTTGGCATGTTTGTTTGTTTCACATATTATTTGAATCATAAGTAGCAAGATTACGGAATATTTCAAATTTGGACGATGCACATATCACAAAAATACCTGAATGATCTATGTAGAACCTCGAATGTCATGTGGCAAGCAATATTCCCACACTCAAATCAAATTAAGGAACCATCAGGACGAACAAATTACCCCGAAATAGTAGTAAAAATAAGAAAATTACTCATAACTTGAAAACGCCGCAACCGATTTTGATGTTTTCTTCTGCGATGAAAAGGCGAATGATGTTGAAATAATTCCGTGATGAGAAATACAGGGTGTTCCATTTGAAAATTTCTTATGATCGTCGTCTGAATCTTACAATATTCAGAATGTGAATTTTAGCACCCTGTAGAGGATTATCTCGCAAGATTACTGAATTGGTATACGTGAGACCTTGCTACTACTATATGCAGAGATTCACGGCTTGACTTGATATTCAAGCTACTTGACTTGACTTGACTTGAAATCAAGTCAAGTTCAAGTCAAGCGAAAGTTTTTTATTGTCAAGTCAAGTCAAGTAATTATTTATCAAGTACTTGAAAAATCAAGTAGTTCTATCAAGCTACTTGATTTTCAGCAGTTTTATTGTGTATCTATACAGCGTGACTCACGGTCGATGTCATAGGTTAGACGTTCATGGAGAACGCGACGCGGGATTTTTCTGAAAATTTCGCATACACAAAAAATTCCTGAAGTTGAAAAATCTCGATTTTTCGCACTCTATATCTCCATAATCTTTTCCGCTATACCCCGAGTGTGATGTATCGATGGAATCAACTCTTCAAGGAGAATCTGAAAATGCAATAAAATACAGGGTGTTCAATTCGAAATAACAAAGTGGTTCCTACTTTTCTATAGAAGCGGCAACGTCGTGATTTTGAAAATATATTAGATCGATAGTACCGGTGATGAAATGTGAGATGCGAAATTTTCAGAAAAATCCTGCGT